AGAGGGTAAACGCTTTTATGCATCTCCAATTTACCCTCTTTTCATTATGTCCGTATTATATCTGTAATTACTTGAACATTTCTTACATGTTCTGAAGTGATCAGATGTGATCAGCTTTGTCTCCCTTCATCTGTCCTTTTAAACAGCCCTCTTCATCAGAGGGAGTTAATGGGTTGTTCGAACGCAGTGAAGTAGCCTAAAAGCTGCCTCCGCCTAGGCAGGTTTTAGATGTGAATAGATAATAAAGTCACAGGGCATCAAGGTAGCTGGAACGCTGCACTACAATAAACCACGAAACTCACTGCTGATTATGTGATTATGTGACAGATTATGTTCTTGTTCAGCAAGAAAAACCTGGATTGATCTGGACACCAACACTGTAAATCTCTCACAACCAGGAGATGTTGATTTATTATTTTTCAACATTTGAAGGTGCACTTCACCAATGTAACAGTTATCTTGTGAGGGAGTATGAATCTGCATGTGGACACTTTTATAACGTTGTTCCACAGGTGTGGAGAAAGCTTTCAACCATTTGGATTACAGCCTGACATTACAAATTGTGCTTGAAACAAAGCAGAAATAAGTTCGAATGGAAAGTGAACAAAATGAATATGATGGCGCTGGATTGTGGGAAACGTAGGATCTAGTGTGCTATTTGACAATTAGTTGGACAGGATATTTGGGCCTTTGGTGCTAAGATCCTAACCAATCCGTTTAAATATGTCCCTTTAAGGCACCTATAAGATGCTCTGACAGTCTAACCAAATGTGTGGACAAAACGTTAGGTTTATACGTATATAAGTGGAAGGATAAAACATTTGATCCCTAATGTGGCCTGTGGATTTTTCTTGTAAACAAGTTCTGTAGTTACCACATTACTGAAATGTATCGTATGTATCCCTAAAGGCCTTACAAATGCAATTCCTTCCTCATAGAATATTTGCTTTTGTTGTTTGTCTGCTGCACGCTACAACCACTTGCAGATCAGCAAAGTAGCGAAACCAGCGCCGCTTCAGCAATTGTGACAGTGCCACGAACACAGCAATGCACAGGCCCAAAGAGAGCAGCTTCCGGTGTGCTCTGTGCCGCCTCTACTGGATGCACGAGCAGCGCTACCATCAATAAGTCAGGCGGACTGGTCCAACATATTCCACTAGACAACGCGCCTGCCACTTGCGTCTTTCAGCGAATGGAGAGGGTGCGCTGCGGGTGTGGCGAGTTAACACGGAGAAGCTTTTTCTCATTCGCTAACAATGGGGAGTCGCGTGCCCCCCCCACACCCCACCCGTATATTGATCTATTGACCTTACTCATCTAGCAGCACAAAAAGAAAGAGACACGCTTCATTAGTAGTATTAATCCGTAGCATAAGTCGTCAAACCCTCCAAGGAGTCATATAACAAGACATTGCAGTGAAAAAGCAAATCTGGAATTTTGCATTCCTGCAGTGTTCACCACCAGCTTGGATTTAATCAAATTTAGCATTCAGAAGCAGATTTGTGCCTTTAGGGAGAGGATTTCTGCACATATATATTATGTTTTACAGCTGAAACTGACTCTCACTCCACGAATGTCCACGAATGACCGCACTAGAGAAGTGGAGAGAATTTAAAGAGGTCAAGATAATAGAAAATGGCAATTGAAGGGAAAGAAAAAGAGCAAACGAGTAAGTGGAACCGATGGGTACTAGAGAAAAAGACTGAAGTTGTCTGCCAGGTTAAAGTGATTAAGGTATTTCACTGCTGGTGGCTGCACTCACACACCATAATGACAGTAAGCGGTCTGACCTGAGGAACCCAGCAACACACCACCAAAAATGTCAGAGATTCATTCTCCATTCCCGCATAAAGAGGTTTCATTAGAAAACCAGGAGAGCCATGATATTGGACTAAATCACAATTGCAGTCCCACCAGTCGGGACAGCAAGTATATGGAAGACGTTCTATTTTCCCCTGGCACTTCTCACACAACATACACACTCTCATTTCAGCCGATGCAGATGTCTGCACTCGTGTCTTACAGGCGTATTTAGGCTTCAAGATACTTAGCAAACTGTTATCTCCAACTGTCTCAGGCTGCAGAGTCTACAGGCCGGTGAACGCTATAGTGAAGTCAGCAGGCAGCATGAAATAGGCAATAAAAGTTGTTTGGAGAAATTGTGTTTATCGGAAATCATAATGCATTTCGCTGCGGTGTCATGAGAGATTTGACGCGGACCGCCGAGATACTCCCTCACTCCCTCACCCACTCCCTCACTCACTCATTCACTCACATGGCCGATCTTGTGATCCGCCACAAGGATACACAACAAAAATGCGAGCGAGAAGCTGCGTTCCTGTTTGATATCTCTGGGTGGCCACACTGAGTCAATAAAATCTCTGTGTATGGGTTCCATGTTGCTCTGTATCCCTCTTTTTATAGTCCATTTTCGTCCTGGTCACTGCACTCGCTTCTAATGATTTATCGGTCCATCTCTTCTCTCTATTTGCTCAACGTGCGTCTCACTTTTCCACCATTCTCCTCCTGCTTTTGTCCTTTGATGCTACGATCTGCTGTACCTCCATGTTTCTTTGAACTTTGTGGAACATAGTGATTTACTGTGCAGGGTTAAGGGAAATAAGTGCAGTGTGTTTTCAGTCTCAGCAGGAGTACCCAGCCTCAGCCGTCTCAACTAGCAATACATCTGTGTGCAAGGCAGTCACCGGCTAGTTAGGAGACTGCGTTCTGACAACTTCTGTGGCGATTAAGAAAGCATGTTTGTCAAAATATAGTTCTAAATATAGAAATATACAGTTGTCCGTTAATAGAAAGCCTATTTCTGGTACCTTAGGCAGCGGTAAATGTGATTGTTTCTGGGTACTTCAGTGACTTTTTACACATTGGCCAAAATTGGACCGCTTTGAATTGTCAGTGAAAAGCCAACCCTTTGAATATTGGTTCTTTAACATAACCTTTTTCGGTCCTTCAAAATGTGTGCATAGCTGTGCGTCCATTCTATAGACGTAACACAAGCATTGCCACAAGTAAAACAATATTCAAGTCCTTAAATGCTAAAAAAAATAAAAGAGAGAAATGAGCAGCTGTTGAATAAATATTGCGTGTTTTTCCCACACTGTTGTCCTATAACAGCGTCACCAAGACTCTGACCATCTCCTCTTCAGCGTCTTGTTATATAAAAGATAAATAGGACTCCCCAGATCAGAGGGAAAGCAAAATATTAGTTTCCCTCAACTACGCTGTGGTATCTAACTGGTGAGTGACATGTGTGGTGGAATATTTCTCCACCAGCAGCATCAAAGCTTCTCTATAAATAAACGCACAGACGCAAACACACAATGACCCACATGCAGAGCAAACTCATGGCTGCCTTCATGAGAGTGAACGGAAATGGGAATATATTAAAACAATTTTTCCCTTTGGGATTCAAGAAGACCGGGAAACACACGCACACAGTCAGGAAACATCACGGGGAAGGGGAGCTTTAACGTAACATGAAAACTTCTGCGTTTTTACATCAGTCTCATCAGAAAAGTCCACCTGGAGGTGGTGTTCACCTGGTGTTCCCAGTCTGAGCTACTTGATATCAAGATGAGCTCGTTACTGTATTTTCAAAGAATCGAATTGATCGTAAGATTAAAAAAAGACTTGATAAGATTGAGTAGAGATTAAATTGGTCATGTGATCACCTTATGTTCATCTTGCAATCCAACAAGCAGCATTGATAAAATGTATCAAAGGCATTCTGAAGATATTATTTGTTTGACAAAGATTCCATAATGTGCCGGCTGTTTACAAATGAACTACACTTATGAAAGACAAACACTGCATTGGTATTTTATGCCAAGCCAATTAAATGTCAATTAAAACTCATTATGTTACCAATAGAAGTTACATGTGAGAATTCAGAAGGCATATGGGAATGTGGGAAGGCAGCAATGTGGAAGAAATGCACCAAAACTGTGTATTTTTATTTCAAATTCCTCAAAACCTCACGGCGAGAAGCAAAACATATGGCAGGAATTGATCCAAAGCATTAGATCTTCTATCAAAGCATCGTCTGCTTATTGCCAATAGACAGCAGTTTGACATTAAAGCAACTGAAACTATTTGCTTCAGTGAGAAACCCACTTCACCACCTCTCATTTCGCATCCCATCAACAAGAGAGCACTGCAGGAAACACTGCTCCACAACACATGGCGAGACACAGCAAGCCCGATATTTATAGATCTTTGGAAGAAACATGAAGAGTGCCTCATGAACACTTTGCTTCACTAAAGAAAACTGTTTTTTTCGTATTGTATTTGATTGTTTTTGCGGTCTTTGTGATGAAGGTACAGAACTGCATTGGCACCATGATGCACAATCCTTTGCTTATGCCAGTTCGAGACCAACTCATTATGTAAATTGTGGAATAACATTATCTTATTAAAGCATTACATGTTAAAAATAATATGAGTTTGTGAACTGAGCCACATGATCGGGGAGCCTCCATGTCTTCACGTGACTGACGCATATCAACAATCACTAATGACAGACTTCGGCGATCAAAATGACTACGAGCCTTGTCTCATGTCTTCTCTATTAGATTGTCTTTCCTCCTCTGGGACGAACAGTTGTCGGATTTTTGCTGCACAGAACGAAAAAGCCCAACGCGGACAGAGGAATCGATCGTGTCCCACGCCGCGCCGAAAATGCAAAGAGAACGATACAAATGAGCCGCTGAAATGTCCCGAAGAGGATTTCTGGCCCATCTGAAGTGCTGGCGAGTTGTTATTCTCGCCTCCAGAATCAAAACGAGGTCTGGACGGTCTTGTCCCCCCACTGAGGCGGCCCACCATTTGATCCGTTATCTACCCCATTTAATCCCTGACACACAAATTGTCTCATCTACAAAAAATATATATATTTGTGAAGATGCGATCAAAATCGTGAGGATGTTTTTTTTTATACTTTTCATCACAACATGTCCCTACCATGGAAGAAGTGTTAAACTTACCAGTTCGGTGACTGGGAATCCCCCTTTACATCCTACTGCGGGACTCGGTGCGCTGCGCTAGATCTCCGGCACTGGAGCGCGGCTCACTCCAAAGCTCTCCAGGACAGCGCGGCTGTCAGCCAAAAAACGTGACCAGAATGATTTGCCTCTGTTTTGTCATAAATATTACAGCGGGAGGGGGCGGCGGGGCTGCAGCGGCTGCAGCTGCAGAGAGCAGCACTGGCTCACAGAGCAGGTAAATATCACAGTGTTTTGGCGTTTTTTTTATTTATTTTTTATTCTTTTCATTTCCCAATCAACATGGCGCGCTACACCTGTCCACTTTCATGAGGCGGATCCACAGCCTCGCGCACACGGACCGCTCAAACGCGTGATAATGCGCTAACTGCTCGCTGGAGCGCAGTCGCTCCGGCCCAGCGACCAATACGGTTATCTGCAAGCGCACGGAGGAGGGAGGGAGGGAGGGAGGGGGATTTTTTTGTTGGAAGGGGGAGGAGACAAGGATGCGGGAGGAAGAGAGGGGGTTGAGAGGGTGGGGGGCGCGGGGGTCCTTCCACAAGGACGACCTGAGATTTCTCAAGGGTGACCACCCTTCTGTACTAATCCAACAAGATTTCCAAATGACTGGAGTCTCCCTTTGCTCCCTCAAAACGCACAGCACACACTTCACCTGGTCTCCCTCAAAGGGAAATGACCGGATTGCGGCTTCGACTTCGATCCTATCAGTCTCCCCCGCTGTAGAGGAGGCTTTTGAAGGCTCCTGTGCTCGCTTTGCTGCACACCGGGGGCTGTACAGTAAGGGTCTGCCCTCATGTTGGACTCCACGTTCCAATGTGCTGGATTCATGAGGCTTGAAGCCATATTTCACCTGGGATTATCCCCCCTAATATAAAGTGCAGCCCTCCATCTGCTGTACGGCGAGCACTCTGCATACACGTCCAAGGTCACTGACAAAATGCGTGACCTTGGACACATTAAATCTGAGGTCCCCGTCCCTGCAGTTCTCACACTGATTCACAGGCAGTTATTTTAGAGAGAGGTGTAAGTTGCTGTGCTAGTTGAATGTGTGAGTTACTTTGCTTTTATTCAAATAAAAGGCACGAGCACCCGGGGGTGCGAGTGTGCTGTGAGCTGCTCACTGCCGAGAAACTCCCACAGTGGAATGTGTGCTAACGTTAAAAAGTCCGCGCGTAAGAATTGCTATAAGACGCACTGAATATTTAACCTTATTTTGAATTGGTAAATGGTAAAAACAGTACCTGAAATTCCCACGCTTGCCCTTAAATGCTAACGAACAGATACTGGAATAAACAGATTAATTCTTCCTCCCATCATCAACTGCCATTTTAGAAAATATTCCCATTCTTGCAGTGAGTTTAATGACATATTGCATTGTCATATTTGTCCAGCATATACACGTCTAAAGCCAGCAGCTGGTTAGCCTAGCTTAGCATAAGGGCCGGAAACAAGGGGAAACTGCTTGCCTGGCTCGGTCTGAAGGCGCCTCTCAGAGCACCTCTAAAGTTAATGTGAGAAACTTTTAGCTGGTTACGAAACAGCTTCAATTAAATATGGATGCCGCTATATGACCTACTTAGGTACACGAGACAACCATCTTGAACACTGGCTATTCGTTTCACAGTTACTCTGAATGCTTTTCATCAGGGCCCCCTACTTTCCATCTAAAACTTTAAAAACAACAAATTGAAGTTTTACCGGCCATAAATAACCTTTTACGAGCAGTGACTTCCAAAGTATCTGCTGGTTGCCAGGCAACCTCAAAACTAAAGCCACACAATTACATAATAAAATGCATTATCTCAGTTTACTTTAACAGTGAAATACAGTATGTAGTGTCAAACAGTGGAACTTAGAGGCGTGTTTGGAAACAGTTACTCCTTTGGACAGAACCAGGCTGTTTCCCCATACAGACATCAAGAAAGTGAGCGCATATATTTCCAAAATGTCGAGCCATTTCAACATAATGACTACAAATTGTGTTATTTCGGTTTGGGACAGTGCATTTTTCTTTTGGAGAAAACGAAAAAGACACGATCATTGATGACTGTGATCCTTGATGTACTGAAGTCGCGGTCGCAGTCTAGACATTGTAGTACTTCACACCCCAGTTCCTCCATCACTATAGTGTCTCTGTTGCCCACCTCCTCCCTTTCACTGCGACACACATTCTACAGAAACACAGAGGCTCCCGTGAGCCCGCAGTCACCTTTTTTTTTTTTTTTTTTCAACAAACACAAAAAGGGAATTGCCCCTGCTACCGATCTAAATCTCTTGTGAAAACGGTCACATACAAATGCAGAGCTAACCAGTGATTAGGAGCATCTGCCAAACACCCACATGCCATATGCCTCTGGCATCCAGCCAAATGAAAATACAGAAGCACATCTAAACACACACAGCACTAGAAAGCAAATAAAAACACTAATAATAACCAAAACATGATGTTTATGTGATCACACATGGATCAAGAGGACATTGTGAGAATAGGGAAGTAAATCCTGTATATTTACTGTTTGGATGTGGACCCTCGCTTGCCGTATGCACTGCATCACTCACGTGAACTTGCTACATACATGTGTATGATTCAACTCAAATGTATACATAAAACAATGACAAAATCCTAACTATACATTTCTGCCAGGAAGTGAATAATTCTTAATTTCATACAGCTTGACCTCCATCCACCGATAAGACCCATCAGGGGGAAAAAGTACAATTTCCCAATACAAAAAAGGTTTGAATTTTGTAGGCCAAACCTGACAATATAATATCATCTTGGGTAGAAATATTCATAGAAACAGATCAATAAGCCGCAGATATGAAGATCTAAATTACATTTACCCTTGTGCATCCTAAACTCCTCAACTGTTGAATGGTGCACAAAGATGCACACATCTTTTTAATGATATGAGTTACTGAGTCAACGTTTTATTTTATTTGTGGTTCACTGTTATTTCTTGTGGTCTTCATCATATTCTCTACTCTCATTTATAAAGAACCTGATTGATGGATAAACTAATGATTCTAAACACATCAAAACTCAAAATTGGGTGCCGCTCTGAAACGTAACAATTCAGTTTTACCATGAATTGTATATTCATTTCTGTTTAGAATTGCTAAAAAGTTTGATGTTAATTGATGGTTATTTATTGTAAAAACAGCTGCAAATGATAATGGCGCAGGTTGTGTTGGGGAGTGGCAGCACGTTTGGGAAATCTCTTATCTCTCCTTCCCATTCAGAGGAGTTCTGCCTATATTGTTGTTAAATGCCAGCAAAATGCTAAGGCTAAAAAGAAACCCTTGCTCTTTGAATTAAGTGGGTGATATCAAAATCTGACCTTTTCTCTGATGTGTTAGAGCACTGAAAAGATGTCTGTCAAACCTCATGGTAACTGCGCTGGAAACATCTTCACATAATAAAGACAAAAAATAATCTTAAGTCAAAACTGGAAGACGGAAGTGCTGCGAGTGCCTCACTCTTCCCTCCCCAGAGGGAGATTTTCCCTTCAGGCTTCATCAAGCAGCAAGTCAGTTTTCTCCCTGTGGACCTTTTTTTGTTGGGAATATAATTAGAATATATATATATTGTAGCCACAATTCCAGATCAATGTGGATATTAAACATTGATTGCAGTGATATTGGGACATGCTTTGTCATAACATTGCAGCATGAACTTATATTTTCACCGCTTGAGGATTATGGGTCAATATAGTCAGAAAAGCATGGTGGTTTGCATAATGCCAGTGCCACAATGGGCCAGTTGCCTTTCTCTGGCATATTTAAAGGTATGGTTGTTACAAATACTAAGAATCTAAAGATATTATAGCGGCTCTGTGAGGCTTTAGCACATCAACGCCCTGATCTAGATGCTAACGTCAGCATGATCAAAATAATAATGCAGCAATGATGTCTCGCAATTATATTATGTTAATCATCTTAGTTTAGTGAATTTGAATGTCTGCACCGATGTTCAGGGTAATCCACACCATATATGTAGAGATGTATGTAACAAAACAAGTGGTGAGGCTACAAGAAAAGTCACATTGTCTGGTATAAAATGTGGTTTAAATCCATCTTGCAGATGTTGACATATTTCCCTGAATAGGGGAAAACTCTGATGGTTTCACAGATGTCATCATGCACATAAATCAGTCAAATTCAACATCTGTAAAATCTCAGACGCTGTAAAAAATTTCATTTTTAAATGCACACCAGCCACTGAGGTGCCCAAAATAACTGATTGTGTGAAGTTTTGTGGGGCTTTTGAGTCTTTCCTCAACACACTGATGGGTGTTTCTCCAACAAACAACCTATACATCTTCTCTTATATATCAAGATGCCCCTATGAATCTAGTTGTGTGTGTGTTCTATTGGATTATATGTATTTATATTATAATATATTTATATAATGATATTTATATGATATGCTTTTTATATATGATATTATAATAATATTATTATTTCCACCAGCCGCCACTGAATTAGGCCAAAGATAATTCCGCCTTGAGTTTGACATATGTGATACAACCCATTGACTCAACTGCACATCCTGCTCCAATAAAAGGCACTTAAACCTAAGAGACAAGATCAGATAGAGCCGAGATGAAAGGAAGCAATAAAAGAAACAGGGACAAGGAGTTTGTACTCACAGAATTCCAACGAATGCAGACGAACAAAAAACAAACGAGTAAATGATTAAGCAGAAGAGTTGACACAAGTAATGAGAAAATGATCAAGCAATTAAAGTGGCCTATACGAGGTGTTGTGAGAAAGAAAGGGAGCAATGAATTAAGAAAAAACAATCTTTGTGAAGCAATTGTGTATCGACAAAATGACCTTGAGTTGGGATTCGGAGGGAGGCAAATGCTGAGCCGGTGCAGACAGAGAATTATAGTGAGGTAGAGTGAGAAAGACAGCCAATAGAGAGAGAGAGAGAGAGAGAGGGAGAGAGAGAGAGAGAGAGAGAGAGAGAGATGAAAAGACAGAGAGAGCGAGGGGGAGAGAGAGAGAGAGAGAGAGAATAGATAAAGCAAAGGAGGGGAGAAATAAATGAGAAAGACAAAGACAAGTATCTCTGCAGCCGTTTGATCAGAATCCAACAATTACAATCATGCATTATGAAAGAGAGACAAATTTACCCTTTTCCAGCGTTAAGGAGAGGAAGCAGGGCACACCGGATGGTCACTAAATGCCACCACTTAAGTGTATTTGTATGAGCTCCTGGTGTCCTACGTAAGGAGGGGGCAGTCTGGCAGCTTGGGTTTACCCTCTCATTATCTCACCCAGGAAGTAGTCCTGGACGGCACACTGGGTGGAACATTGACTGTGTCACCATGATTGTGTCACCCGCCACAGCTGGCCTGTCACCTTTTGCTGGTATTTTGTGG